TTGGTTGTGTCTTGTTCGTTTAACTCCTTAAAGGGATCTCTAGGGTTCCTTCTAGGGATCTATAGGGTTCAGAGATTCGGGTTTAGGGTTTAGGCTGTAGGGTCTAGAGTTAGAGGGTTGTAGGGTTTAGGGTTTAGGGTTTAGGCTTTAGAGTCAGGCTTGAGGATTTCAGGTTTAGTCATGGTTGGTTTTGTTAAGAGTAGTGTGTATCTGGAGGGTGATGTCATCTGCCGAATGTTGCTGAGCTGTATCGGTTATGTGTATTGCCATTGAGCAATGTTTCCGAAAGGCGGAACTCACAAGGCTCGAAGCTATCTTAGGCTTTAACCTTCGAGGTTTTAGCGTTCAGGGTTTGGGATGTAGCGTTTTAGGGTTGAAGTTTGGCCAGGATTTAATGCTCAGTTTGTTTTTGAAGTTGGGGTATTTTCCGACATATTGCGAAACCGCAACGCCCAGGGTCGTACCCTAAACCCTAAACCCTAAACCCGAAATCCGACACGCGACACCATGAACCGCACGTAAGACCAAAGCTGCCATTCAGCAAGGTGCCTTAATGTAATATAGGAGCCTTAATAATTGGAATAGGGTTTGGGGTATATTATACTGTATTTATAGTAAGGAACCCCCTCAAACCCTTATTCTAATTATTAAGGCCCCTACATTAAGCCGGTTTTCCACCACCTTTAACTTAAGCACGTTCTTAAACCCCATCATGAAGCTTAGCACATAGAGGACTAACGAGCACGCCCAAACAACCGAGCCCCTGAAACCTTTACACCCTAAACCCTAAAACCCTTAACCCCCGAACAACTAACTACCAAAATCCGAAAAAAAAAGAAGGTCTACACCCTAAATGTCCCCAAACCCTAGACCATTGCCCCAATAAGCCCTAAACCCACTACCCTAAACCCTAAACCCTAAGCCCTAAGCCCTAAACCCATTAGCCTAAATCCTAAACCCTAAACCCTAAAGCCCTAAACCCATGACCCAAAACCCTAAAAACCCTAAACCCTTAAGACATAAGCCTAGTCCCAGGAGCGGCTTGCCTTCGATTACCAAAGCCGTTGGGAGCAGAGGCTGCGAGACCTCCTGAGCCAAAGGAGTTATACTCTCGAGACTCAGCGGCCCCGTTAAGGAAGGAATAGGGTTTAGGGTTTAGGGTTTTAGGGTTTTAGGGTTTAGGGTTTAGGATTCAGGGTTTAGGGTTTAGTAGGGTTCCTTTAAGGGTTCTCTGTATTTAGGGTTTAGGATTCAGGGTTTAGGGTTTAGGGTTCACGGAGACTCAGCGGCCAGGTTCATGAAGGAATGGATTTCTCTAAGGGTTCTTTAACGGTTCTATAAGTTGCTATGAGTAGGGTTATAGGGGCCGTAAGAATGAAAAAAAGCAAAGTTTTGTGATATGTCATACTCTAGATATAAATGGGGACTACAAGGGGGGTACCACTTGCAATTCTTCCGACCTAGATCGGGAATATTCTATGGGATGAAGCAGTGGTACCACTGTACCGAAAAGGGGTTTAGGGTTTAGGGTCTAGGGAAGAGACAGGGGTTTTTAAAGAGACCACATGTGCGAACGGCCTGCCCTGCTGCCAACAACACTCATGCGGTGCGGTTCTCCCTTGCCCGCCCCTATAAACCCTAAACCCGGTGTCGTCTAGTGCTCATAACTTTCATAACTGCAGTCTGCCCGAATGCCATGGTCCACCGGCTTGGGTGTCTAAGTGAGGCCTTAAACCCTGAACTCCAATCCCTCGGAGACCCTGAACCCGGAGCCCAAGCCCGAAAGCCTAGACTGCTGGAGCCTGGACTCAACCTCACTACATGTCTTCGGGTCTTCGCAGGTTCGAGTGCCCACACCCTAAACCCGAAACCCGGGTACCAAACCCGAACTCTCGAAGCCAAGCCCCAAACTCAATGCCCGAAATTCCCACCGCTTAACCCGGAGCCCGAAACCCTGACCCTTGAAGCTTACATGCCTCACATCCCACGCAACCTACCCTATAACTTTTCGAGAAGCCCGTAAAGTAACCAATAAAAAAATTCCCTATAGGGGACCCGTAAACGAACCTTTGCTGAGGAAGATGTGCAAGGCCGGATCTACGACAGCAGCGGCAGGCGTGGGACTTAGGGTTTAAGGGTTTAAGGGTTAAGGGTTTAGGCTTTAGGGGTTAGGGTTTAGGGTTTAAGGGTTAAAGGTTTAGGCTTTAGGGTTTAGGGTTTAAGGTTAAAGGTTTAGGGGTTTAGGGGAGAGAGGGCTCAAGAGCTTCGGAGTTCTATGTGAGGGAAACGGGAATCTGAAGTTGAGGACTGCAGGCTTCAGCCGCTGACTCAAGAGAGGAACTCCCGCGCCCTGAAACCCCGCTATTATTCTTGCTAAGTGTCTGTTATTACTATTGTTGTTATTATTATTAGTGTTATTCTTATTATTTTTTATTACAGTTATTACTATTCTTATTCTTAAACAAGTTTTAACATTGCTGGCATTACCATTGTTCCTGGTAGTTTTATTACTGTACGACTGCAAACGTTTGCCCGTGTGCCTGTGTACTTGATCAACACGGGCCGCACGGGCACCCCGGGCAAGAAGGCACCTAAAGAAACTGTAGGGGTTTAGATCTTAGGGTTGAGTGTGCATTAAAGTGTACATTTTCTTCGGATCGCGACAACTCTTGCTATCGCAGCTATGTACGCTAACCCAGGCTGAGGCTTCCCGTTCCGGAATGACTTAACAGAGCACAGGTTGCAGAGTTGGGACCATTCCTTCGTTCTAGCCGCCACTGGGTTGAAATCAGCGAGACCTAGCTGCGTCCGATCCGAAGCACATCCAGTTTCCGAATTCGCTGGGCGTGAAGGAAACGATCGGAGTGGAAGACTGCAATGACAATGATTCAGCACCACATACTTACTGCGCAGGTTTCTTGGCCCCCTCCGGGACCCATGCTCATGCCCGGTGATGCACAAAGCGCCGAAGGCCCAAAATCCACGGCAAACCCCAGACCCCAAGGTCCAAGAATCCCGAAGCCCGAGCCTCTCAGATATATATATATATATCTATCTATCTATCTATATATATATATATCTACATATATATATATGTATGTCTACCCTACCTACCTACCTACCTACCTACCTACCTACCTACCTATCTTTCCAGCGACAGAGACAGAGAGAGAGAGAGAGGTTGAGCCGGTCGGAGATGAGCGGCCATGCTTGAAGTCTTTGATTCCCTGGCCGTTGGATGTCGTGCCTTCCGGCCAGATCAGCCTGGGTACACTCAGGGGTCTTGGAGTCTTGGGGTTTTAGCCTTTAGGGCTGTAGGGGTTTATAGGGCTTTCGGGTTTTCGCTGTGGGTTTTGCGCCTTTCCAATTCGACCACGAGCTTTCGTTAGGGGTATACCTGCGAGGATACGGTAGGAGCTACTTTTCGGCTACGGTTATTGCAAGGTTACTGTAAGGGATGGCAATACAGGCCGCGATTCATGGCAGACATTGATGCTACTGCAATGGCTAAATGGCTATTCGCTCACAATCCCTAAGGGTCCATGTACCCAAACAGTACATACTTTGGCCCCAATGTGCCTATATAGGGACTACTTTAAGGCCAATGTATAACTGTATGAGTACATGGACCCTAGGGAATTGCAAGGGCCATGGAGCCGGATCCACCAAGTGCGAACCCTAAACTAATGCGAACTCCAAAAACCCTAAAACCCCTCAACCCTATACCCCGCCCCAACGACTCCACACCCTCGAAACGCTACAACCCTATAGGTTTTAAGATGTTCGACCAGGGGCAGAGGTCTCTCTCCTCTTTGCCACTCCGTGGCGTGGTTCGCGATGGCCTCCTGGACAATCGAAGATCGGAGCCGTAATACTTGCTGTATAGTATACTATGGTTACTACTATCCGGGATAGGAGCCCTAAGGAATGCTATTGATCATTGTTTTGCGGGTTTTTGGACAGCTGAGAGGGTAGTTGAGGCTTTGGGACCTCGGGATTTCTGAGTATGGCCTGTGCAGGTTTGGGGATACCACAGTTTAGGGTTTTAGGGTTTAGGGTTTTAGGGCTTTAGGATTTTAGGCTTTAGGGTTCAGGATTTAGGGTTTTAGGGTTTAGGATTTAGGGTTTATGGGTTTAGGGTTGCAGGGTTTTAGGGTTTAGGATGTAGGGTTTAGGATCCTTGAATCCCCCACAGGATTTCGTTTTTTTTCGGATCTTGGAGGCTGCTTTTCGGTGACCTCTGCAGGCCTGAAACCGCTCTTCACCACCTAAGACTCACATTCTTCTGCAGAATTCCTTCTAAGGCGTCTCTAGCGATTCAGGCCTCTACACTCTTTTGAAGATTGAGCCCTAAACCCTAAACCCTACAATCCCTAAAAACCCTAAACCGTGGAGCTTTCGTAGCCTAGGAAATCAAGAGCCGCAGCGAGCATCTACGAGGCCGCAGCTTTCCAAGATCCATGAGGGACAGGGTTTAAGGGTTTAGGGTTTAGGGGGTTTAGGGTTTAGGGGTTTAGGGTTTGGGGTTTAGGGGGTTTAGGGTTTAGGGGTTTAGGGGTTTAGGAGCATGAATTTCGAGGTCTGTGCAGCAAGGTGGGAAGATGGAGATGAGCCGCCAGGCTCGAGCATTTTCCAGGGAAGGACTTCAATGAACTCGTCTTTCGTCAGCATCCTACACATGTTATGACAGGACGCACACACGCGCAAAAGCTAACAAGGCTGGCCCGAAAAATCGCAGTGCCACATGGGGCCTTGATCCTAACCCCGGGCTGGTGCCAGGTCAAGATCGAAATGTCAGCCCTGTACAAGCCAGTGCTTGCCTTCTCTGTGGCTATCAGGCCTTGTCGAGTAGCTTGTCGCGATCTGCATCACCTTGCCCTGGCTGTGTTCCGCAGCATTTCTCCATGCTCCAGTATCCGAAGCTGCATGAGACCGCGGAGACAGAGATGCCCCAAGTGGTATCCACCACGGAGTACCACCATGCAGCACGCCACACTGGGTCGAAGGTCAGCTCGACACCGGCATAGATGGCAAAAGTGAGGAAGCCAATCCATGCACCGAAAGCAATGGCTTCCCGCAGAGTTTGGGGCTCCCCCATGCCTCAGTCTGAGTCGTCTCTCTCTCTCTCTCTCTCTCTCTCTCTCTCTCTGAAGCACGCGAATTCCTAAGCCCCGGATTGGACTACTCTTTTTTATCTTATGTTTTTGTCCTTGAAGATCAGTGAAGTGGTGGGGGAAATCTTGAAAGATCATGCGAGGCGCTGACAGCCAAGCCCATAGGAATCCAGGCAAAGAAAGCGAACAATGGGTCAAACCTCTCCCAGTACTCTCGCGGATAGACGCCAGAGTCATTGAAGTAATACCAGGTTCCGTACCTCAGTACACATCAAAGCGGTGAAATCTTGCTCCCGCTCGCGAATATGCTCTGGGCCTGCCCTAAACCCCAAACTCTAAAACCCTAAATACATGGAGCCCTGCTCCGACTATCCTTCACCGAATGATTGGGGAGAGCACCCGAAGAAGCAAACGAGCGCTTACAATGTAACCGAGACGCCACAGCACGTCCAAGAAGCTCTGGAACGGCACCACGATCAAGGCCCTCTTCCAGTTCGGGGGAATGGAGACAAGCATCTCTTCTGGCTCTAGGCCGCACAGGGATTTTCCTTTTCTGGAGCCAACGCAAGCCTTCGTGTTCACAGATTCTCTCGCGATCTGCGCTTATGTCTGCATGTGTGTGTGTGTAGAGCTGCATGAACGTTTGAAAGAGGGAATGCATGTAATTATGCGTCTACGGAAGTGTTTACGTGTGCATGAACAAACTGAATGGCTTATTATGCTTAGAATGTAAAATCGCCATCGAGCCTCCTCACTATCTATCCATCTATCTGTCCCTGTCCGCCCCATCTGCCTACCTATCGGATATATATATATATATATCTCTC